TCAGTGCCAAACCCTCACACAGAACTGGGAGTAGGGGACAGTCACCTCCTATTCTCTCCCTGACTTATACATGTCAGGATGGAGAAAAATAATAAGGCTGAAGGGATAGGAACATGACATTTAAGTGGGGCCTGCTTAGTTAGAGTCAGAAGCAGGAAAAATGAAGGAGGATGGAAGCCTACACGTTGCCTCTTGGGAAGCACCTGCCAGGAAGAGGCAGCTGAGACGAGGTGATCAAGGACAAAGAAGGCTGCTCTAGAAACTCTGAGTGGCAAGGGCCCAAGGGAGGGACGGTGCAGGCTGACCAATGACCTTGAAAGCCCAAGACGGCACTGCTTTGTGGTCCAACAACAAAGAGTGTCACGAGAAAGAGTGGAGACAATTCGTCTGCTTCACTGCAGTGCCTGATGGAGGCCACCCACAAGCCATAAATGGCAGATGACATACAGGTGGCAACTGTAAGGGGGGTCAGGGAAGTAATGACCTGAACAGTGTGGGCAGGAAGTCAGGAGAGGGCAGTGTCAAGAGCTTAGGGCTTATAGCCAGACCATCTGGGCCCAGTCCTGGCTTTGTCACTTTGCCGTTATGTGACCCTAGGCAACCTCTCAGTGCCTGCTATTCACTGGGCTATTGTGAGCACTCTATGAGATGGTGAATTCAAATGCCTAGCGAAGTGCTAGGCACAGAGAAAGCAGACCGTACAGGACAGCTCTCACGATCATCCTTTTTAGGGAAAAGAGGCCATCCTTGAAGATCCTGGAGCACCTCTGCTAGTTGAACCAGTGGACTGCACTCGGCTACCCCCACCCTAATACCATCAATCCCATCTCTCAATTGATTCACCTCAGACAAAGTGGGAACAGACTCCGGAGCTGTGCGTATCAACACACCCCTCCATCTGCAGATCCGAGATGGAGATTTGCCAGTGACCGAGTAGAAAGACATTGTAGTTTACAGGAAGCCAGAAGAGAACAAGCAAAGGATATGAAAGCACACAAAAAAGAAAGAATATAATAATCTTCAACTCAATTATATGGCATAAGACTAAGCAAATGTGAAAGAGTTATATTCCCCTATTAACAGGCAAGGCCTCTTATAATGCGTCCAACTAAATGCTGTTTGCAAGGTTCACGTGTAAATCAAAGCAACTTAAAATATTAAAATCTAAAATATAGTCAAGGATTTATAAAATAAATGTAAATAACTCAAAACCACAACAAGATATCGTGTTCAGCCAGTCAGAATGGCTATTATTAAAAAGACAAAAAATAGCAAATACTATTGGGGACGCAGTGAAAGGGGAACTCACACACTGCTGATGGAAATACGAATTAGTGCAGCCACTATGGAAAACAGTATGGTCATTTTTCAAAAAACTAAAAGTAAAACTACCATACAACCCAGCAATCTCACTACTGGGTACTTATCCAACAGAAAAGGAATTAGTATATCAAAGGGATATCTATACTCCCATGTTTATTGTAGCATTATTCACAATAGCAAAGATATGGAGTCAACCTAAGAGTCCATCAATGGAAGAATGGATACAGAAAATGTGGTGTACGCATAGATTTAAATAGAGTATTTGACCATAAAAAAAGAATGAAATCATGTCACGTTTGCAGCAACATGGATGGAACTGGAAGTCACTATGTTAAGTGAAATAAGCTAGGCACCGAAAGACAAATATCACACATTCTCACTCATATGTGGGAGCTAAAAAAGTTTATCTCACGAGGTAGAGAACAGAATGATAGATACCAGAGGTTGGGAAGGGTGTGTGTGTGTATGAGGGGAGTTGGGGGGGGGAGCTGAAGAGAGGTTGGTTAATAGGTTATACAGTTAGATAGAAGGTATATGTTCTAATGTTCAATAGCAAAGTAGGGTGACTGACTACAGTTAGTGATAATTTATTGTGTATTTCAGAGTTGCTAGAAGTGAGGACTTAAAATGTTCCCAGCACATAGAAATGATAAACACCCAAGGTGATGGATACCTCAAATGCCCCAACTTGATCATTACACATTCTATGCATGTGACAAAATATCACATATATGTAAAACATCATAAATCAATTTTTAAAAAAGTCTTCACTGAGCAAATAAAGATGCAAATATAAAATAAAATAAATATAAAATGAAAAAAGTAAAATAGGTGTCACACAATATTGAAGAAGTAAAAGCAAATAACAAATAGAACCAATTTTATATGAAATATTTCATAATGAATCTAAAACTGTTATAAAGTTCTATATACAAAATATATAAAGCAGAAGCTACTAGAAATTCAAGGGGATTCTAATATACATCTCTGCCCTTGATAAACCTAGTTGTCAAAAATTAATAATTTGAATATTATAATACAATTATAAGAGTAATTTGAGAGATTACACCTTCTTCTCCAGCACTCATGAAACACTGATCTTATATTAAGCTAGAAGACAAATCTCAAAAATTAGGGAAGACTACATTTTTAAAAACCTAAGCCATTCATAGCAGTGTTATTCATAATACCCAAAAAGTGGAAACAACTCCATTATCCAACAAATGTCCATCAAATAAAATGGATAAATAAAATATGGTATATCTATACAAGGAAATATTATTTGGCAATAAGAAGGAATAAAGTACTGATCATGCTCCAACACAGATGACTCTTGAAAACGTGATGCTGAGAAAGAAGCCAGTCATAAAGACAGCATATTGTATGGTTCAATTTATATAAAATTTCTAGAACAGGCAAATCTATTGAGATGGAAAATAGATTAGCAGTTGCCTAGAAGGACTGAGGGTGGGGGTGCAGCTAGAGGGAAAATGGAATGACTGCTAATAGGCACAGCGTTTCTTTTTGGGGTGATAAAAATGTTTTAAAATTGTGGTTAGGGTTGCACAATTCTGTAAATATACTAAAAGCCACTGAATTGTATATTTTAAATGGATCATGTATTAATTATATTTCAATAAAGCTGTTTTTTAAAAACAAAAACAAAAATCCCAAGCCCTTGAAAATTAAAAACCCACTATCTTAAATAATACTTGAATTAAAAAAAATTAAAACTACATAGTGCATTTAAGGACTATCACTGAGAACACCATACATCAAAACATGCGGGATGCAACAAAAGCAGCAATTAGAGGAAAATTTATAGCCTTAACTGTTTTACATATTAAAGTGAAAACAATTATATATACATAAATGAACCAATAATTCAACTCCAGTAGTTAATAGAAATAATAAAATTTTAAGAAAATAAAAGATGAATTATAAAAGAAAAAAGCAGAAATTCCATATTTCATGTTTAAGATATCATCTGTTATAAGGTATATCTTTTTTTATGTAAAACTAAGAAAAATTGCTGCCCATTAAACAATGTCACAATGCTTTATCATCAATTGAAAGATGTATCCCAATTTCAGAGGTGTACAAATGTAGAAAGAAAAAGCACATCCTAGATTGATAAAATACAGTAAATTAAAAGGCAAAAAGAAAGTATGATTGATAAACAAAATCCAAAATCTAGTTCTTTGGACAGACCAATAGACAAAACTCTGGCAAGGAAAATAGAAAAAAAATAAAATAAAAAACAAAAATCAAGCCATTAGGAATACGAAAGCAAATATAACCATATACACACAGAGGTTCAAATTTATTAGAGACTACTGTATAATGCTCCAAAAAATTAAATAAGGAAAAAACTCTATGCTAATAATTTTGAAAACTTGTATCAAATGGACAATTTTCTACTAAAAAATAAATTTTCCAAGTTAGCTGTAAAAGAATTAGAAAATCTAATTAAACAATGCTCATGGTAGAAATTGTTAAAGTTGTTAAAGATATATCTCCAAAAAATTACACTAGATCCTCTGCAAATACCTAGAGTCATATCTATAAAACCTTAGTTTTCCTTGTTATTAAAACTATTTTAGATCACAAAAGATTAAAAGAGTTTTTTCATAAAATTACCCTGAAATCCAAACTATAAGAAGCATTTTTCACCTATGAAATTGGCAGATAAAAAATGAAAGAAAGAAAAAGTCAAAAAGCCATGAAAACATATAGTATTTGTGCATGTGGTTAGAAATAAGCAATTCCATCCCCTTCTGATGAAAGTATAAGTTGATGCAACCTCTCTGAAGAACATTTTGAAAAATACATGAAAAGGCATAAGTTTTTGCAGAAGTTTTGAAGATGTAATCACACTTTTAGGAATTTATCACGAGGTAATAATCATAACTATATGTAGAAAGTTTTTGCAATGAGGATGTTCATCATGACATTTTATAGCAAAAACGTTGAAACAATTTAAATGGGTCAATATTCAAGGGCAGATCCAAGTTTGACAGGTCCATCTGATGGGGCTGAGTCATTCTATAGAAATGTAGATAAGAACACTGAGTGTGCAGGATGGAGTAAACATATAATATCTATATATACCCAAAGGAATGATAAGATACACAGCAAAATATCTTTAGGTGGGATAATAAATGATATTAACTTTCTTCTCCTCCTAGTTCCTTACAATGAACGTGCGTTATTTTCTAACCAGAAAAATAATCATTACTATAATTTTGTTTGTATGAAACTTATGAAATATACTAATAATGCCCAGAGAACCAGAAGAGAGAGTTTGAGTTCCCCCAGTCTGGGAGGATATAGATGAACCACTAGGAGTCTTGTCACTGTCACTGTGACCCATCTGGGCTGCAGCCTGGGGAGCCCTATGGATCACAGGTCACTTGTGTAAAAAGCATGGGGAGCCCTATGGATCACAGGTCACTTGTGTAAAAAGCAAAGCATCCCTTGTTTCTCGCCCTCATCCAGGTTCCCATTCCTGGGAACTATCACCAGCCTCTTCCAATACAAAGAGCCAACCAATTACCTCTTTATCCATAGCCCCTGCTGCTTTCTGGAAATTTCTCAATTAGAAACTATACAAACATCTTATTTGGTTGGCACTGAGCAGGTTTCTTAAAAAATAATGAGCCAATTCAAACTCCTACCTAGATAGGGAATACTGGGAACCATCTTCAGGCTTCGGATATATTCCCGAGTCCGCTTGTAATTATCTTCTTTAGACATCAGATAGTCCAATTTCTCAAAGGTGGTCTTGTCTTTTCGATTCAAAAGCTGGAATGAGAAGAAAATGTAGATTATGAGGGAGAAAAAGAATAAACCAGAAGAAGCTAAACAGAGAGGATAGGTGTGGAAGAAGACTGAAAGGAAACATCCTAAATGGTGTGTCCATGGCATGCCAAATCCTGGGCACAACTAAAGATTTTAAAAGGCTGTTTCATGCAGAGATGGACAGTTTCTTGTCATCTTCATAGACTCTTACACTTGGAAGATATCCCCCACGCTGCCTCGTCTACTCCTCTGCATGATGTCAGAATCCCCTGCACAGCACCAGCCTCCACGGGTGCAGAGGCCCTGCCACAGCAAGGCGCTCAGACAGAACGACAAATCACTCAAGGTCACCTGCAGTGTAATTTCACAGCTATACCAGGTCTCTTTCCCTGAGTCCATGCTACTGGCTCTCTTCTCAACATCTCCATGGCTGAGGGCACCAGGAAATCCCAGACGATTCACATGTACATGTGCACACAGCCAGGCCACCACTCTAACCCAAGCTATCTCCTCCAGACTCCCCATAGTCCAACTGTGTCAAATTTACACTGGGTGTGGTGTTTTAATCAAAAGACAACCTTCTTTTCCATATGAAGGGGTCATTAAAGGGCTGACTTAGTTAAGCAAACACAGGATGAGCAGGTTTGCACAGCCAGAGATTAGAGAAGCAAGATACTTTGAGACTGAGATCTCTGGTGTATAAAGCTGGCTACCAGGGAAAGGGTGGTTCAATGTACATATAGAGCCTTCTAGAAAGGAAGGAACAGAAACCAGAACCCCGGTTTTCAAGAATTGATGTTAAGGACTCCTACTGTGGTCATCCTCCATGTTTCAAGTCAAAGACCAATGTCAGAAAATGTCAACAAGTCTCCTTGAATACAATGGCTTCCAGGAGAGGAGTCTAGCTTAGAGGCCAGCTTTGAGAGAGGACCTGGGGGAGAGCTGGCCTTGGCACAGCATGTGGCTGATGCTGGGAGCTCCCTGAGTCTAGCTGCCAGGGCCACTGTTTCTGGGATTGGGGGTCAATGGCTAAACCCAGGCATGCAAATGAAGAGGCCTGGATCATCCTTAGCCAAGTTTGGTGTTGCAACTCCAATGGTCCGTGCAAGGACCTGGACCAAGAGACCCACCACATCCATCAGACTGAGGGAGGCCGGGATTCAACAACCTTGTTACACAACAGTGAGAAGTGGGAAAAGGACTGCCCAGCACCAAGGGTAGCAGTGTAGTTCCTGAGACCTGGGTCTGCAAATCCCTGACTCAGGCCATGTCTGGTCTTCAGGGAGCCCCAGGCTACTTGAGGCAGGAGCTGCCTGATTCCTCCCTCCTCAGCCTTGGGTGCCATAGAGAACACAGCCATGAGACAGCCCGCTGCATGTGCGCAGTGACAGCTTAAGAACTTCAGAGAGGAGAGGCAGAAGAATAAGCTGAAAGGAAGTTTCCACTGCTGAAGAAGTTGGAGAATAAAAGCAAACCTTACTTTTCCCTCTGAGAAATTCAGGACACATCAGGGTAGGATGCTATGCACATGCTAGGGACAATGGCTGCTTAACTGGTTTGCTAATTTGAGGTAGTTATTCATTACATTAACAAATAGACAGGAAAAACTGCCATTTTCCATTTGCTGTTTGTAAAGCACTATAATATACAACTCATCTGATCTTTACAAAGCCCAGTGGCAAAAAATGGAGCCAGGACTACTGCTTCCATTTCAGGTTCATAATCATAAGTGTTAAGTGGATTGTCCAAATATTCTTGGGGAACTCGGCTCAACAGGGGAGAGAGACATCTTACAGCAATATGTTAAGTGACTAAATAGAGACCAAGAACCTAGACAAATAATAAATGAATCATGGGCAAGGGAAGTGTCAAGGAAAGTTATATAGAGAGGCAGCATTTGAAATGAACACTCGGGGATTAGAAATTGGCCAAATGAACAATAAATACTCAGATCAGAACAAGTTATCTAATTGTGAACTACCCCATTGTTAAGTGAAGCAGGACCCTCACCTCCCTTGGTCAGGAGGTCATTGTTTGCAATTAATTCAACCTAATCAACTCCTTAACTTCTTTGGAAATGGCAGCAAACAAATCCAGATGTCATTCTCACACAACTGCAGCTGGCCATGCTGGCTCCTGGTGCCAAGGCTGCTGGTTCTCTGGTCCCAGCTGGGGACTGCCCATGTCCCCTGCCATGTTCAGCCTATCTGTCCAGCCTGTCAAGGGCCTATGTGGACAGCACCTCAGAGGTGATTAGCCTGCCATCTGTGTTCCCCACCCCCCAATACACACTCACACACACACACACACTCAGAAGGGCTGGATCTGGTTAACTTCACTCTTCTGCTCCCTTCTGTGCCTACAAATGAGATTCAGAACAGTATCAAATTTCTCAAGAATAATACATGGGTTGCCAGAAGACATGAAAAAACTTGGAATATATATTTCCCATGATGTATTTGAAAACTGCTTGAGAATTTCCTCTAGCAAAATGAAGAAATAAACCAGGAACAGGAAAACATGGAATACAGGAAATGGTGGATCTAATCGAGGAGTAGAAAAGGGAGATTCTGGGATGAAAAATGGGCAGCAGACCTTAAGAACAATTGGTCCTTTGCAGCTGTAGGTGGAATTGGGGTAGAAAGCTAAAAACAAAGAACTGGTCCATGTCGGATGAGCCCTGAAAGAGATATCTCCAGAGAAAAAGAAGGTTTGATAGAAAACCTGATATGATGGCACATGGGTGGGTAGATATATTTATTATATTACTACATCTTATACATATATAATTGTATATATAAATAAAATAATTTTAATATTATATGTATGTTCACACACACAGATATCTGGTAGATAGGGTAAAAAAATTTTTTTAAAAAGGTAAGTACAAATTCCAGGGAAATGACAAAATATTCAAGAAAGGACACATTATTTGTAATTTACTACTTGACTATACAGTAAGGCATGTTTACTCATTCCCAATTGCAGTACTGAAAACTCATTTAACAAAAGTGATTTAACTAGAGTGATGAGAGGTTTTAAAGAATGAGGGAAGATGGTTCAGGAAAATGAAACCAACATCTATCAAATGAAGAAGTCACAAGATGCTGTCTAAAGTGGATGGGTCAAGAAATTGTAGCAAAAGCATATTGGTGGCCAGCCGTAGTGGCTCAACACCTATAATCCTAACACTTTTTGGAGACCCAGGTAGGAGGATCACTTAAGGTCAGGAGTTTGAGACCAGTCTGAAGAGCATAGCAAGACCCTGTCTCTACAAAAATAGAAAAATCTATTTTTCTAGGGGCAGATGGTGGTTGTGTGCCTGTAGTCCCGGCCATTTGGGAGGCTGAGGCATAGTCCCAACTACTTGGGATGCCGAGGTGGGAGGATCACTTGAGCCCAGGAGTTTGAGGTTCAGTGAGCTATGAAGATGCCACTGCACTCTAGCTCAGGCAACAGAGCAGGACCCTGTCTTAGAAAAGCACAGATTGGTGAAAATGTGGAAGAAACTAAGAAACTACTACCAGAAGAAGCTGCTAAATAACTGGAAATGGTTGCCTCAGAGGAATGAATGGGATGTGCAGAAATAGAGTGATGAGTGTCTGTTGCTTCATTAAGCCTTTCAGTACTTAGTGATTTTTTTAAATGAATAAGCATATATTATGCTCATAAAAATTCTTTTAAGATTTATTTTTTTTAAAATATAGGGTCTGTTTACTCAGAAAATAACAGCATTTACTTATACATTTTAAATTTTTATGACAAGTAGAACTGTAAACTGCAAACGTCATATGAACTGAGAGCCCTTTAGATTTTAGAGTTTATGGGAAGCCTCAGGAAGAAATCATCAGAACACACACAGAAAATAGATGAGTAGCTTACCTGGAGCCAAACAGATACTAAAACCATTCACAGTGAAGAAAAGAGGTAAGGATGTTAAGATTAAGGAAAGTTTACTAAATGTAACAGGCAACCTCACTTCTAGTGAAGGTTAGAAGTCTTGTGAGATTTCCTGCCATAACATACATTATGACTGTAACTGACTGTGCGATTACATTTGTGTCTCACTCAAGCAAATGATGACGACTCCAATGAGCAGAGTGACTATGCTGGTTGCACTTACTCTACTAACCTCTGTATCGGGTATGATTCCTGACACAGAGGAAAACACCACCAAAATATTTGTTGCATAAAAGAATAATGAGAAACTTAAAACAATGATAACTTAAAATTTCAATTCCTTGGAAAGTTTGAATATCCCAATAATGCTTGGGCAAAAGCGTAAATAAAATCCAAGATTATGGACTAGTTACAAATCATAAATAATTAGAACACTATTTATTAAATTATGTGATGAGGCCAAAACTATATTAAGAAGAACATTCATGGTTTTAAACTGATTTATAATTTAAAAAGAACTAATATAACTGAACCAAATATTCAATTCAAGAAGCTAGGAAAATTGGAGGAAAAATAGATGAAATAGATTAATAGGTAAAATTAGATATAGATATATTAATAAACAAAATAAAGCTCAACACCAAACTGATAGAAATGCTAACTAAACCCAAGAGCCAATTTTTTTTTTTTTTTTTTTTTTTGAGACAGATCTCACCGTCGTGTTGGCCCCGGCTAGAGTGCCGTGGTGTCAGCCTAGCTCACAGCAACCTCAACTCCTGGGCTCAAGTGATCCTTCTGCCTCCGCCTCCTGAGTAGCTGGGACTACAGGCATGTGCCACCATGCCCAGTTAATTTTTTTTCTATTTTTGGTAGAGACGGGGTCTCACTCTTGCTAAGGCTGGTCTTGAACTCTTGAGCTCAAAGGATCCGCCCACCTTGGCCTCCCAGAGTGCTAGGATTACAGGCGTGAGCCACCGCACCCGGCCCCAAGAGCTAATTTTTATAAAATATCAACAACATAGGTAAAACCTCTACAAGAAAGGCAAAAAGGAAAAATATACAATATAGGATCGAGAAAGGGTTTTTAACCACATACCTAAAGT